AGAAAGAAAGAAAGAAAGAAAGAAAGAAAGAAAGAAAGAAGGGGAAAATAGAAAAATTATCACATTCATTACCAGATCTGGCCACCAGAGGGTGGTGGAGATAATGCTATATAATAGTCACTAAAAATTATTCATAGCACAGTCTTTGCCTCCATCTAGTGGCCAGTTCTGGTAATACATGTGAAAATAGTTTATCTAGAGTTTTTTGTTTTAATATTTTCAGATTGCGGATAAGTGGAACCATAGATACTGATCTACTAACAGGTCAAAGTTCTTTGAAAAACTTATAATTCATACTGACAGGTCAAAGTTCTTTGAAAAACTTATAAGTCAGCCATAATGGCAACAGATTTTTCCTGACTAGTGTTGAAAAGTCTACTGCCACTGAATAAAGAGGTTTATTCTCTAAAGATTGTAAGCAGACCCTGAGGAAGAAATGGGCAAAGCCAGAATGTTTGGTGGGAGTAATTTGGCAAAGTTGGTAGGAAAAGTACTATCCACCATTCTTAGAGGTATGAAGCCTGGGAAGGGGGTCCCCTAACCTAGGGATTTATCCTCCTTCTTAAGGATCAAGTGTGCAGTCTTGTTGTGATACTAGACCCAACACTGACCAGGGAAAAACAGGTTTTTGTTGTGGTCCACTTTGCCTTTTACCAACTTCAGCTAATTGCACAGCTGCATTGCTACCTAGATGACAGTACCCTAGCAACATTGGTCTACACACTGGTAGTTTCAGAAAACTGACTACTGCAGTGCACTCTATATGGAGCTTCCCTTGAAGCTGATATGGAAACTTCAGGGGTCAAGAATGCAGCATCTAGATTGATGGCTGGTGTGAGGAAATGTGACCGTGTCACCCCAATTATGATCTGCCTGCACTGGTTATCAATCTGCTTCCATGCCAGGTTCAGCATAAAGCCCTAAACAGTTTAAGATCTCACTATTTGTCTGATGTCTTCTGTCAAGTTTGATTGCCCATCTGACTTTAAGACCTTTCATCTGCAGTTATTAACTCCTGGAGAAGCCCAGAAAATAGTAACAAGGAAGGAAGGAAGCACCGATTGATTCAAATCTGTTATTAAGAGTACATAACCAGGGTATGTGATAGGTTGTGCCATATTATTTCAGAGATATCCATAGCGGATATTCACTACCCATTAACTTCCTAGAACAGGAGGTCCTGCGATCCAGTGGATCAGTCCAAAGGTTTATGTAATCTGGCTACTGGCCTACTCCAGAGTTTGGAAACTTTTATTTTAAAGCAATTAGGTAGAATTATATTTCCAAGTGAGCCACGTGGAGTACTTAGTTACCTTTGTTATTTAACTAAAACTTTGATTTAACTAAAACTTTTTATTTGCCTGCATCTTGAGAATCTGAAATGAACACACTAATTTGTCTTGTGGTGTCTGTTGAAATCAAAGCGAGTTTCTAGGCCGAGGCAAAGAGGCAGCCCCGAAAGCAGCAAAATCAGGGAGCTGGACAGGGGACAGACTGTATTTCTCTTCAGTGTGGAAGGGATTGTCACTCTCAAATTGGCCTTCTCAGCCACACTAGACGCTGTTCAAAGGCCTCCATACAGTGCACGTTACCATAGTCTTTTGAGACTGAAGGATGCCTAATCTAGTCCCAAGCAGGTAAATCTCTGGACAAACAGTCCTAGATGAAGGAAAGATTTATTTTTGTTCAGTCAGATTTATTTCGTATACTGTAAGTCACCACTATGGCTGGTCATAGAGTAACAGGCCTGAGTACTACCCAAGTTAACAAATCTTCAGAGATAAAACAGCTGGCTGTATAGCTTAGAAAATTACCTTAGAAAATGGCCTTTGGGGCCATTGTCTAAACAGGTCTGATACGACTGTGTTGCATTTTTACAGAGAGTCTTTCTATGCTACTTTATTCGTTCTAGTACTAACAGTTTTGTTCTCTGCTCCCATTTCCATTTAGGTGTGCTTTCACTACCTGCATATTTCAGTCCTTATAACGATGGATCCATGTGCAACAATGGAAGAGCTGATGCTTACGCCCAGCTAGAATTAAGAACTTTAGAACAGTCTCTCCTGGCAACTTGTGTTGGAAGCATTTCTGAGCTGAGTGAGTTTCTTATGTGACGGATAATTTGCTTGTTTATGTGAAGCAAGGGGCCTTTCCCTGTTGATGTCAAGAAATCTTGCCTTTGGCTTTACCGTTATTTTGCTTGGGCTTAAATTGTACAAGATGTAAATGTTTCAGGATGTCTTTTAGAGAAATCTAGAATCTATCACAAAGTACTCTTAAGTGTAATTTACAACGATACACAGAAATAAACTTTCATCTTTCTCCTTGCCCTTCTCACATTGCTGTTGCTGTTTCATTGTCTTCATGATAAAGAACAGGTTTGATTGGCCCCTATCCCGAGGGATTTACAATCTTAGGTAGACGCAAGGGAAAGAGCAGAACAGGAGAGGGGAACAAAGAACAGGTTTGATTGGCCCCTATCCCAAGGGATTTACAATCTTAAATCCCAAGGGATTTACAAGGGAAAGAGCAGAACAGGAGAGGGGAAATGGAGGTAAGGATAGAAAAGCAATAGGCAGAGATAAGGATGGTTTCTTTCTAGACCACAACTCTCAGAATACTCCAGCTGGTCATGGTCAACATTATTTGGCTTTCAGTTTAGAATAACTGTGTGCCAGGCAAGTCAGTTCTGACATGAAAACCCTTTTCAGGGTTATTCAGGTAGTGAATACTCAGAAGTAGTTTACCAGTGCTGCCTTCTGGGGGTACCCTGGGGCTGTGCAGATTGCCCAAGGCCACACAGGCTGACTCTCCTCCCTGGTGGGGAATCAAACACCCAACCTCTGGCTCTGCCATCAGACCCATAATTTTCTAAGCTATACAGCCAGCTGGCTTGCAGTTTGACAATGTCCTAATGTAGCTTTCATCTTTTAATTTAAATAAAATTGGAACACTTCTGCAAACACCAGTGCTTTCTATTCTTTTTCTTTTTAAAAAGGCAAAGTAGAGTCATAAATAAAATGGTTTCATATAACATTTGTAATGCGTATTTTATTATATTTGATCCACATAAGATATATTTAAAGCCCGACAATGTCCCTTTAAGTTGTACTTTGCCAGCCTGTATTTCCCTGGAAAAACATTCTCCTGCTATTTCTCCCCAAGTGCACTACCATCTGAATGCTGCTGTCAGAAGCCAACACATATCTTACAGGTCTTACCATTTATTTTGTGAGCTGCCTTAATTTGAGGTTTCTCGTATATTCTGCAACACAAAGAGAGTGCTTGTAGCACACGTCCATGATTGAATATAGCTTCCTTTCCCCACCTTTTGATTTGGCTGGCTCATTGATTGCATTTCATGAATGGCTCTCCTTATATAGCCTTTTTCTAGCTTCCCCGCCCCACCTCCTTTTAAGAAATGTTGCCATACATTGCCAGCATAGTAAGGAAGGGATACAAGGCAAGGGATGTGTATATTATTCTGCCTTGCAAATTTGAATTCCAGATGCCCTTCATGTATAGTACTGTAGATCAGCACTTATGGAAGAGGAATAGATGTTAGTGCACAAGTAGAATGGAATATTTGGTAGCCATACAGTATTTGGCTTTTAACCTACCACCAACCACCTGAATAAAAATTGTGCAGCTCAATCCTATGCATCTTTACTTTAATGTAAGCTCTACTGTCTTCAGCCAAACACACTTGCAGGTGAATATGTAGGAGCTTGTGCCTCTGCACGGATGCTCAGGAACACCACTAAGTTAAATAGAAAGTGCTTCCTAGTAAGGAGGCTTGAATATCTTAGTGCTGTTCTAGGGAAAATGTTAGTCCCAATCAGAATGGATTTGCCCTTAGAATGGGATGTATTAACTCAACAATTATGTCAGTCTCACTGATTCAGCTGCTGTACTGTAGTTGGGACTAACAATCAGATGTAGCCTCCGATTTCCTTGCTTCAGTAGTATGGTCTGTATGACCTGTTAAGAAAGCAACTTTGAAGTACTCATTGCTGTTTTCACTCGACCCTTTCCCAGCATTGTAATCCTGTGCGAACAATGGAAGACGCTTTCCTGTGAGTCCTAGAGTCTAAAGAAATAGGATTCCCAGAGAAAAATAGGAGCCTTTAGGTTGCACACATACAAAATGTAGCATTGAACTTATCCATATTACTGATAATGGCAGAAAACAAACTTTGACCTTTAGTAGTAGAAGCCTTTAAACAAAGAATGAGCATATCTGTATATAAGGAAGTTTCCTAGAAAAGGTCTACACAATGAGGAGAGTATTTCTTAAGGGAAGCCAACACAATTTGTGACCTGCCAAGATGAATACAACTCATCAGCTCTCTATTGTAGCTTGCTAAGCTGGTTAGACAGCTTGGGTGGGGAGGGGTTAGGGTATCTGGATGTGTTAGGTATCTGGCTGAGGAGGCAGCGATTGTGAGTTTGACTCTCCACTGTGCCTTGTCTTGAGAGCTGAGCCAACCTGTGTAGCCTTGTGTGACCTATACAATCCCAGAGTGCCCCCAGCAGAAAAGAATGGTGAACCACTTCTGATTACTCACCACCTAGAAAACTCTGGAAAGAGTTGCCGTAAGTCAGAATTGACACAATTATTACTATTATTAATTAATTACATAGCATAAGTTCTGTTCTTGGTGCCCTCCTCAGGCAGTAAAGTGAAGAGTATCTGAGTTCCTGCTCAGCCACCATACCTATTTGGTGAGCTCTTTGGCTTGATGGTTCACGTATAGAGGCTTGTTTTAAGAAAAGCACCTAGTGACCAAAACACGATGGTAAAGAGAGAAGACTCTTTATAGCAATGGCATATCTTCGTTCAACTGGAGGCCTTTCATGGCTTTATGCAGAAGATAAATGGTGGTGCAAATATTCTTGTTCTAAAACAGATGGTTTAGTGAGTTTTCCATAGTTGTAGTGAAAACCAGTGCGATTACTATAGTAGAAGCTCAAATTAGGCTTAAATGGCTTGATTATAGAAACTAGCAATCATCTTTTCTGAGAATAGATAGAAGACACCAAGTGGCTACCTTTAGGATGGACTTTCAGTGGCCATCGACAGCACCAGTTGAGCAGGACTGATGTCTCAGATAGTAGGTTTGACAGGTTGTGAAAGGGTTCTGGGTTGCCCAGTTCTTTTTCTATTTTTACCACTAGAAATGGGGAGTGGCGCATATGAGATTTTCTGCTTCCTGTGCCAAAATAAGGAGGCTGGCTTTTGATACCAACCTAGGGGATGATGGCACAATTTGCCACTCTACCTCAGGTAGTAAAATGCAAGGGCTGTCTCTATCCACAGATGAAATATATGGGCCTTTTGAGTGTTGGTTTTTCTTTTCTGCTTTTTTTCCAGGTGATTTGGTATCACGAGCAATGCACCATATGCAGTGTCTGAATACCCTCCGCCCGGGCATGAGCCCTGTTCGACAAACGAGGCAGCAGCAGCAGCCCATTACCTGGTCCCCCGATGCCCTCCATACCCTCTACTACTTTTTACGCTGCCCTCAAATGGAGTCCATGGAAAATCCCAACCTAGATCCACCAAGGATGGCCCTGAATAATGAACGGTAGGTCTGACTGTCACCCAACATTAGCTTTCACTTTAACAGAACCTTGTTTTGTTAATTCAGGGATTTAAGTCATATAATTCGTCTTATATTCCAAGTAATTGTGACACTAATTCATGTAACAAAACCAGTGTGCATTCTAGGTCTGGAATTTTTTTGGAACTGAAATCAGAAAGGAAATCGCTTTGGATATTGACCTTTGTAAATCAGGAATCTATGAAAAGAATCCTAGATGTCCATCTGTGTCCATGCTGCGTGCTCAATATGTATGCTGATGCCAATGTCCAGGATTAACATGGTGGATCAGATGTTGCCTTTTTCTGATGTCCAGGGCATTTTACATTTAATGTGCGTTTCCATGCTGCATGAATAAAGCAAATGGAGTTCTAATAGCGCACGGGTCTCTTCGTTGTGCTTCTGATTTGCAGCCATAGCCTGCAGGGATAAAGTAGATAGAAAGATGTTATCAGACTAGAGGCTAGAAGATACTGGGAGTGCAGCTGCTGAGTTTAAACTATCATCCATTATATCCACATAAGATAGTTTGGTGGATCAGAAATTACCAAAGAGTTTCATTGGAGTCTGTGTTTGAACTGTTGTTATTTCTGTGGCAGCGCAGCATGACACAAATATGGTGGCCACTTCCTGTTCTCCTGCTTGCACAAAGTGTGTGCTGTCAGTC